ATTTATTCAACAAATACCCAATGAGCCCCTACTCTACAGATAGGAAGTATAGATAGAAACAAACTAATCCCCCTAAGAACAACTTTGGGGCTGGGACTCATTAGGGTTCTCAGTAAGTGCCAAAGTGAATAAACTACATAAACACATTGGTTGGAAGATTCACGGCGACGTCAGAAGAGGGTGTAGCATGAAGGATGCCATTGCTGACATCAGAAGGATCTTGTTGGAAAGCAGAGAATATCAGTAAGATGTTTACTTGTGTTTTATCAACTATGCAAACGAATTTGACTGTATGGATCATAACCAATCATGGATAACATTGTGAAAAATGGGAATTACAGAACTCATCCTTGTGCTTCGATGGAATCTGTACACAGACCAGGAAGCAGACACTGGAACAACACAAGAGATAGTGAATGGTCTAAAATACATAAAAGATGTCTGTCAGGGGTGCATTTCATTATACCTATTCAATCTGCATGTTGAGAAAATACTCTGAGAAACTGGCCGATATGAAGAACACAACAGCAGGGTTGAAAGAAGGCTCGTTAACAACCTGTAGTATGCAGATGACACAATTTTGTTTGCTGAAATTAAAAAGTATTTGAAGCACTTGCTGATGAAGATGAAAGACCACAGCCTTCAGTATGGATCCACCTTAATATAAAGAAAACAGGAATCTGCACAACTGGACCAATAGACAACACCGAGATAAATAAAGACTGAGGTTGTCTGGGGCTTGGATCCACAGTCAACACTCATGGAAGCGACAGTCAAGAAACCAAATGGCGCACTGCCTGGGGCAGGTGCAAAAGACCTATTAAGGGTTTAAGTGCAAAGACGTCCCTTTTAGGTATCAGGTAGCCCTGACCCAAGTCACGGTGTCTTCAGTTGTCTAATGGGTTTGTAAAAGATGAACAATAAATGAGGAAGGGAGGAGAAAGATTGATGCATTTGAATTATGGTATTGAGAAAGAATGTTGAAAACACTAGAAAAAAAAACACATTGATCTGTCTTGTAATAAATATAGTCAGAATATTCTTTAGAAGCAAGGATAGCAAAATTTGGCCTCACATATTTTGGGTGTGTCACCAGGAGGGACTAGTCTCTAGAGCAGTGTTTCCCAAAGAGGGTGATACCTCCTCGCATGGGGGAGGGGTAAAAAAGCAGATACCTACACTTTATCTTGGATTATGGGCTGCAGTACAAGTTTTTCGTTGCTAGGGACCACTGAATAACCCCCCCCCCCAAAAGGGAATGGTAGGCCAAATAAGTTTGGGCACCTATGTTGTACAGGAAGGCATCGGGCTTGGTAAAGCGGAGGGTCGACAAAGAGGAGAACTGTCAATGAAATGGATTGATACAGTGGCTGCAACAACGGGCTCCAAAGAGCAATGACCGGGAGGAGGCGTGGGACTCAGCAGCGCTTCATTCTGCTGTGCAGTCGCTGTGCGCAGGAACCAATTCAGTGACTCCTCACAAAAACAACAAGGAGGGCTAGGGGCTGGGGTGGTCCACAAGATTAAGTGCTGGGTTGCTAACTAAAAGGTTGGTGGATTTATGAAGATCAAATAAAATTAAACAAAAGTAAACAATATATTGTTAAAGGACACATCCATAGTAGATACAACTATTATCGTTAGAGGGAAGGGCTGATAGTCCGAAAGTCACGGCAGTGGCTACATCTGAAGCCTGCGAATGGGCGGCATAGGAAGGAGCAGCCCATCAGATAATGCAAAGTCCTGGCAGGGGTCTAGCTAGCCTTGGTCTGGGCAGTTGGTATTAACCATAGTATTGTATTTTAGAACTTACACTTGGCAGCTTAATGATGCATTTAATATATTCTTTTGTCTGCACCAAATACCTTCTTTTAAAAGATTTTTAAAAAGCAATTCACAAAAGCAAAACAATAAAAGAGCTTAAAGACACACACAGTACAAAAGTAAATAATAGTTCTTATACTAACACCAATCTCATAATGAAAACTATAGAATATGCATGAGTCTAACACAAACTAATAAACCAAAAAACCAAATTGGGTGTCATCAAGTTGATTCCAAGTAGCAACAGGGAGGGAGCAGCAGAGAGGGAGGGGGGAACAAAATGAGGAGCTGATACCAAGGGCTTAAGTGAAGAGTAAGTATTTCGAGAATGATGAGGGCAATGAATGTGCTTGATACAATTGATATATGTATGAATTGTGATAAGAGTCGTATGAGCCCCCAATAAAATGATTTTTAAAATAAATAAATAAATGAACTTCAGATGCCATCATCTAACCATAGTTTCATGTATCCTAATGGCTCACAAAAATCTTTTGTGCCAAATGGAGATCAAAGTTTTAGACATATACATATATATTTAAAAAAATCAGTAAACACTCTAATTATAATCATTGTCTTGAAAAAATCACAAGTAATTTTTAATGATCCTTTACACAGTAAAGATGGTTGGAATCCAATCCATAATAACTCATTGAGATTAACATGCCCAGTACAATTTAATCAACACTGAGGCTTGCTGGGCACAAGCTACAGTGAAATGTGCAAACAGCACAGACATGGCCCTGCTCTTTCAGCCTATAATCTAATTAGCAAACAGTAGGATACACTAATAGAGAGAGAGGTCAAATTTCCATCTAAATCTCAAATCAATCTGCCTTCACCATCTCCTCTAACTTAAGCTACTAACACCTATTCCCGGGACCTGTGGAACACAATGGCTGTGGCATAGATTCTGATTAAGGAGACCCGATAGCACAGAACAGACTGCCTCACGGGGTTTCCAAGGCTGTCAGTCTTTCTGGAAGCAGACGGCCACGTCTTTCTCCTGGTAACACCTGGTGGGTTCCAATGTCAACCTTTGGCTTAGCACTCGAGCACTCTGACCCACGACACCACCAAGGCACCATGCACCTGTCTAGCCCTCATGTACAGTCACAAACAAACTGCTATGAGAAAGGGGAAGGAGAGCTGGGGGAGCTCTTGAAAGTGAAATAAGCAGCCGAAATAAAGAAGACAGCAAACGACTGAAAGATGAAGCCAAGGGACTCTTCCGTTAAAGGAAGAGAAAATCAGGTAGTCAAAGAATTCCAACAACCAACAGAAGAGGATTTAGCAAACTTTGTATGTCAAGGTCAGGACAGTAAATAGTTCAGCTTTGCCGGCCATGTGGTCTGTCATGATATTCAAGTCTGCCATTAGGTGTGAAAGCAGCCAAAGCCAACCTACAAATAAATGAGTTAGCCTGTATGACAGAGTCTGTTGATCTTTGAAAAAACAAACAAAGAAATAAACTATCAAATAAACAATTTAAGAATATTTCTCAGATCAAAGAATGTGGATATTTATAGTTGAAAGGACCCAATATGACAAATATCATCCAATTTCAGAACATTAAGGATAAGCAGAAGATCACAAACCCCACCCCATCTCCCAAAAATGATCTATACAAAGACTATGTGCCCTGGTGCATAGTGGGCTATGTGTTGGGCTGCTATCACAAGGTCAGCAGTTCAAAACCACCAGCTGCTCTGTGGGATAAAGAGAAGGTTTTCTTCTTCCATAAGGATTTCGTCTCAGAAACCCACAGGTGTGGTTCTACTCTGTCCTCTAAGGACATTCTGCTCTATGCGCTCTATCCTACCAGACTGCGTTAGAAAGCATACTCGATGGCGGTGAGATAGAAACACTGGAAAATTAGATTTTGGAAGAGCAAAACTAGAAAATCATCAAAATGGAAAGGAAATTCTAACTAGAATCCTAAGCTTATCCTTGTAATTAACCATCACAAATGAGAGATCAAGTCCATATGTTGGAGCTCCAGGGGTGGGGGGTGGGGGTGGGGTGGATGAGTGTTCAGGACAATGAGTGGAATCCACTTATTTGAATACATGAATATGAAAATATATATTACCAATGCCTGGTAGCAGAGATGTGGAATATTTAGAAACTAGATTAAATACAAATACACAGAAAGCTGAGCAATTTTGAAAAATGAGGTAATTATTAACTGCAGGGGGTGGGGGGAAGAGCTATACTGTATTTCCCTATTCAGTCTGCCAGGAAGCAGTATCTTCATAATATACATAATGGGATGTCGATTACTGCTTTGACCCAAAATTATAGTATATATAATCATATAAGGGAAAAGAAAGTACGCTAGCAGTATATGGGAAACTCTATCTCTCCGTATCAGAGTTAGAAGTGAGGAGATAATACTCAAATCTGATGAATCAAGAAATAACCAGTTTACACAGTGTTTAGAAATAAAGAGGTGAATATTCGAGAAACTGGCCAGGAGTCACAAAAGTTTCTTCTAAGTAGACCTGGAGATACAGAAGGTAGGCATTATCAGTTTTATCATTGTATTTCGATTTTGAGCTCTGTGAAAATTTCATTTTTTGAAATCAATCTACAATAACTATCAGACAAAGAATGCCTGCAACCTATGTCGGAGATGATCAGTGTCGTCCAGTGAGAAGCTCTTAGAGAAGACATCGTGTAACCGAAAACAGGCCCGAGGTCAGCGCAGACAACTCACAAAAACGTGCTCACGAAAACAGAACGAACCCTTCCCCCTTAGAGAAACCACCACCACGTCCAGTGTGAGACAGATTGGTTTTAATTCACTACGTAGCAAAAATTTGAAAATGGGTAATATCAGTAGTGCTGCTAAAAATCTGAGGAAATGCACTGACTGTGAAGTTTAAATCACATCTCATTTCTGGAGTGAAATTTGATAAACTCAATCAAAACCTTAACAATATGCATGATGTTTTACTCAGTAATTCCTGCTACCTATACATTTTTAAAGACATTACAAACATGAGAGGACTTCCCACAATAACTTGTTGGGAAAATCCCATTCGTTTTTCATTCCACTTTCCCACAAACTTTTGGAAGGCCCTTGCCCGGTATGTGTGAAAGGACCAGTGATAAGGAAACTTAACTTGATCCCACTACTCTTTGGAGTAGCTCTCCAGAGACAACGCCCTTACCTGCACAGTCCGTCCCGCATTGATATGCTCTTCATGCAACTTGTCCCAGACGCGGCACCGTTGGTACTAGACAAAAGAAAGGATTCCCTATTAAAGTGACTGGGTCTACTTACCCCAAATTCCTACTCACCTACCAAAACGTAAGCACAGTAGCAAAAGAACAAAGTGACTCAGCCGTGGACGCTAACTTGGAGAAGAATAGAATGAGGTTTCAAAGGTCTAGAGCAGTGGTCCTCAACCTTCCTAATGCCGCGACCCTTCCATACAGTTCCTCATGTGGTGGTGACCCCCCAACTGTCAAATTATTTTCGTTGCTACTTCATCACTGTCATTTTGCTACGGTTATGAACCAGGCGACCCCCGTGAAAGGGTTGTTCGACCCCCAAGGGGCTGCAACCTACAGGTTGAGAGCCGCTGGTCTAGAAGGTGAACATATCTGGCCCACCAGACAGAATTAGAAAACCCACAGAGATAAACCAGAGCCAGGAAACAGTCAACTAGCGCTGAATGGAGAGGTGCGCTGTTGCAAGGTACCGTTGAGTAGATTCTAACTCATAATGACCTTGTGTAAACAGAACTAACTATTGCCTGGTCCTGAGCCATCCTCACAGTTACTATCCCCGAGCCCATTGTTGCAACCACTGTGTCAATCACCTCACTGAGAACCTTTCTACTTTACCAAGCATGATGTCCTTCTCCAAGGACATGCCCGAAGTATGCGAGAAGAAGTCTCGCCATCCTTACTAAGCTTTCCAGATGTACTTCTTCCAGGAAAGATGTATGGATTCTTTTGGCAATCCAATCTTGGAAGACAGTCCCCATATCATTTTTTCTATAAGTGAACTGGGAGTCCTGGTGGCATAGTGGGTTACATGTTGGGCTGCTAACCACAAGGTCAGCAGTTTGAAACCACTAGCTGCTCTGCAGGAGAAAAAGCAGCTTTCTAATCTTATAGAGATTTCCTTTGGGAAACTCACAAGAGCAGTTCAGAATCAACTCAATGGCACTGAGTTCTGAGTTTGATAAATGAATGAACGATTGCCCAAATCTGGCTAATAGCATCTTTAGCGATAGCCAGTCTTAACTTCTGTTTTGGGCAACCTATCAGGTAAATTAAATGAAAAATTTCCCTCCTGCTACAAAAGTTCTACATATACACATCCTCTTAAATAGGAAGTTGGCATACAAGAAACTTGGGAAAATTCCATGCTAACTGCATACCAGAGTAGTTACTTGAGCCAATGCCGCAGCTATGGTGCGGAGTGCGTGAAGATGAAAGATGTTGCAAGTTGTATAACCAAGGTGCATGGATTTTCAAAAGCAACAAGAAGATAAGAGGTGAAATCGTTGGCCTAAAAGAGGTATGGCCTTGGAATTGTACTTCCTAAAAGAAATCTAGGTTCAATGAAGGGCTATATACTCAGAAAGAGGAGGTGCTAATAAACAAAAACAAAGTGCATCGGTATTGGTGATAAGAATCCTTATCTATCTTGGTCTGTGTTCTTGGTCAAAATAAATAAGTCCCTCCTAAATATTCTTACATTTAACTTACATGAATTTAGGGCACAGGCTACTTGTACGATGCAGAGACCCCTACATTAAGACACTATTTTGAAAAGTTATCCTTTGGATTAGTCCTGAGGAACACAGGAGAAATCACTCCAAGTCCCATTTGGACATCCCCTTAGCCCTTCGGAACCTTTCAGTTAGTGGTTAAAACAGACCGCTTGCACCATCCAGGGACCTCTTACCCTTAACACATACTTACCTCCGATATAGCCCCACTGAAAATGCGCTTAAAATAGAAAATTACCAAACAGAAGAAGCAATCTGCTATGAGCAGGAATCAGTATAATAAGAATTCCCAAGCAAGAAAACGGAACTTCAGATTCAGTATTGGAGAGGGACTAAAATACGCATATTTTAAATAAAGACATAAAGGAGGCATTGAAAAGCATGACAAAAGGACAAAATGACATTAAAAATTGACTGCTATTTAGCATCTTTTTTAACCCTACTAGTGAAGTGCATGCGTGGCATTAATACGCAAGGGTCAGAAGTTCTTCCTTGTCGTAAGCCAAGCTCATCTCCCTGTAACTCGTGACCACCGGCCCACTTTTGACCACAAAGACACATATAATATGTCTAGTCTTTCCCTAGATGCCAGCCCTTCAGAATTCTTAAGACTGGCATTAGCTCCAGTCTTTTCTTCTTGAGGGAACTGAAATCGAAGTTCTTTAGCCATCCGTATTTAACAAGGTTACCAAAACCAACAATGAACTCACCTGTTTTAACTTTTCAGTAAGTGCCACCCCTATTAGTACCAGTGCCCTTGCTAAATGAGATGTGTCAGATTGTAATTCACACCTGTTTCCTTTTTTTTTTTTCACTGTACCGGAATGGTATCACTGAGTTACCATTTAAAATCTACAAGTATCCTCATTATGGTTCAGATCACTAAGTGATAAAAAACATTTTTTTTGCCAATCATAATCTTCATTTACCAACAGTAATCCATACAGTAAGTCTGACACACAATTAAATTAGAGATGACTAACTAATGGTCTAGAATAGCAATTGTTTATTGTTGCCCTGGAAATTTTGTCACCAGCAACACAGCCTGTTATTAAAATTAAACAGCTTAACATGCTGAGTAATTAACTTCCAAGTACCATCACTTCTCGGCCTTTTGGCTAAGATCAAGTGTAATTAACTTCCAAGTACCAATCTCTTTTTTCTTTTTAGTAATTATTTTACTGGGGGGGCTCTTACAAATCCAAATCTTATAACAATCCAGCATTCAATTGTATTACGCAAACTTGTATATAAGTTGCCACCAAGTATCAATCTTACGTGCAAGGTTGTTATTGGTGGTGGCTGTTGTTTTCATATAACACCAAGCCTCAGAATAACCATCAGGCATATTTTTATTTTATCATTCCAGCCTTCTAAAGATCAAGTGCACTGACAGCTGTCTGAGGAATGGCTAAAGTGGTGTAAAAGTTACATCAGGGAACCTTCGAGTCTGCTGCACAGTGCGCGTGAGACGGTGTCTCTCTGACTGGAGATGAACTCACTCAGGGCATGTGTCAACGGGAGTGAGCGAGTTGGGATTGGAACCAAAGGCAATGTTTGAAAGGTGACAAATGGTGGTGTAGATATGGTTAGTAGACGCAGAGGAGAGGAAAACTATTCAAACTCCATACTTTTCTACTTTCATCTTTATTGAGAAACATGATCTTCCAAATCGAAAAGTCTCCAATAAACATGATGAAGAAATGAAAACCAAACGTGTCACAGCAAACCTCGATACTTCCGATGAGTTCAAGCCAACAGGCCCAGGGAAACTACGTTTGAGAGAACCAACCGCTTTTGCAAGTGTGAGCACAGAAGCAGTCCGCCCATCTATGAGGAACCGTGGAGAATTGGAAAAGTTCCTAGAGACCAGCAAATACTGACCCAATGTCCACAAAAGGAAGGGCACTGGAAACGCTGCCAGCTGTGGGTCATGATGCAAATCTGTAAGAAGAGTGGATTTGTGAGGCTGCGACAGAGACAGGGTGACGGTGCACTCCGCGCTCTGCCCCTTTCCTGTTCACCGGTTTCCTTAATGACGTGAACACAACAGTGTACAATTACCACATGTGCAGACAACATGAACTAGAAGGAAGAATTAACAGAGAACAAAGACAACAATTCCACAAGATAGAAAGAATTAAGAATTAAAGTAAGAATAAATTTTAAAAGAGCAATGGTGTAAGAACTACCTACGATCTGGCTCAGCAGCTGCAGTTCATGTAAAAAAAAAAAAAAAAAGCCTGTGGATTTAGTTGATTGCAAAGCCAATAAAAGAGCCAGCAATAGAAAGTCGCTTCTAAAACACCGGAGGTCACCTTGGGCTCTGTGGATACATCCACATATTCATGTATTCGTCACCCATTTATTAGGAGTGCACTCCTTTCAAGCATAGAACTACAAGCCAAACACATCTACTAACATAATGACCTCAAGCAAGTAATTGAACTACTTCAGCTCTGCTTTTTCATCTGAACAACGCAGAGAATAATAGGGCTACATGGAACCCCAAGCACAACACGCAACGGCGGGAAACAACTCCTACTTCTGCTATTCACATCATTTGCTGACTTGTCAAGGAAGTTGTAGAAGAGATGAGGGTCTGGGCGGCAGACAGCACCCCAGAACACAGCCTCGGGACAGGAGGAACAAGAGAAGCGTGGGATGCATGAATACAGCTGAGGGCAGGGACGAGACCCCTAGCGCCAACCGGAGACATGGCGTCTGGATATGGAAGCTCAGGATGACGAGCGATACTGCTCTTCTCCCCACTTAATCTCCTTCCCCTGCTGGTTGAAAAACTCATAAATTTACACTATAGCCTCTCAGAATCCTTACCCCCACATCTGCCATAATGACCCCTCTGACACAAGAAATGTACCTTCCTGACAAGCAGGAGACTGAGGGAAATGAATTGCTAACAAGACCTATAGACACTGATACCTCATTGTTTCCCGTTAAAATAGATCCTCACTTGTTCACCCCTCCAGTGAGCAAGGCCCCCGGTATTACCCTGTTACACAATTATAGTTCTACACGCACCTTCCCAGCAACACTTTAAAATATCAACAGCCATCCAAGAAAGCCAATAACATAACAAGCAGGGGCAAACACACACAAAGAGGGGACTCAAAGTAAAACAAAGACAAGGAAGCTTCAGAAAATATAAAAATAATACCATAGAGATGAGATGATATTCTGTCCATGGAACAAGGGCAGGATTAGCTTTAAAAGTCAATTGCATCTTATTAAAAGAAAAATAACAATAAAGGAGAGAGCATTGAAAAAATAAAACTTAGAAATTGAAATGCAGCTCTGGTTATCTGCTGCCCATCATTTATCTGTCAGTTTGCTGCACTGTGGTGGCTTCTGTGTTGTTACAAGAGGGTATCAGAAAAACAACAACACTGGAACGTTTTTTCAAAGCTAAGTATTTAAAATCTCTACAAAACAATCTTATCACCTTCAAAGTACTCTGCATTACACTTAAT